TTACAGAGCACAGGGCTCAGTCCCCTCTCTGCCTCTGCCAGCCCTCACACCGGAATATCCCCGTGCTTTGAGCCACTGCCCGCTGTTAAACTGCACTGAATACAAGCCCAGAAGAAAGAGACAGACAGAAACCAGCCTTTGGTGTCTCAGGAAAAGCTGTAGGAAGTTTTTGCTTAAATTATTTCACCTTTTGGACACTGCACACACTGTCCTCTAATTTTTCATTGGGACATTTTTGTCCCTTTGCCCGGTGAGGAGTGTCAGAGGGGGAACAGGGTGATGTGGCCGTGGTTTCACATGCCCTGAGCAGCAGCATTGCGGCATTCCTTGCCCTTGGAGCCCAGCAAACTCCAGGTACCGCCAGTTCCTCCACATGTGACAGCACTTAAACACTTAAAAAACACTTTAAAACTCTCTTTTGTGCTCTCTTCTGCTTTTCCAGTCAGGATTACAAATGGTTGTAATAATTTAGGGGATTTGGAGTCTGCAGAATGCCTTGAGCAGAGGCAGATTTGAAGAAATGAAATCCCGGGGTTTGTCCCTGCAGGCTCTGGGTGATGCTGGGCACCGTGAGCAGCTCTGCCTCCCTGGTTTGGCCACCTGAGCAGATCCACCGTGCAAACCCATCCCCAAATCCTGTGGCTGTTTTTGAACGTTTCCTCCTCCCTCTCCATGCCAGCAGCACCTTTAGTAGCCACGGGAGGGGCCTTTCCAAGCCCTGCAGGGATCCAGCGTGGGCTCTGCAGTGTGCTGCTCTCTGTTAAAAGTGACAAGGGGTGGGGGTCCGGCCCCTGCCTCCAGGATTTTGGACCCAGATTTCTGCTTTAATGACCTTCAGGGCAGGAACAACCCCTGAAATGGGCTGGGAAGCCATGCAGCTCCCCGGGAGCGTCCAGGCAGCCCCACATCACCAGGGCTCTGGGGGCAGGGAGGAGGAGGGTGCCTTGGGGAGGAGCTGGGCTGAAGGCTAGGAGAACAAGGAGAGAGCCCTGGCTGGATGTCTCCCACCTTTGGGGGAAGAGGTTGGGTTGGAGAAGCAGCTCCAGGGCTCAGAAATGGGGCTGCCAACCCAGCTGGCCAGTCAGGGGTKTGGGGCATTTCCATCCCAACCCCGCTCTGCTGTCACAGACGCTTTCCCAGCACTCTCAGCTCCAGGAGATRTTGGTGGAGCTGAGTTTCTTACTCCTTCAGCCCCTGGGTGCTGCAAGGCCTGGGAAAGCCTCCTGAGCTGCTGGCTCTGAACCTGTGCAGCTTCTTATTTTTCTAATGCAGCTTCTGAAAATACACGAGCGAGCTGTAAATCCAGTGGGACTCAAGCCAARCCCCCCAGCCCCCTCTCACCACCACTGTTACCCCCACAGCAGCCCCACTGTCTAACAGTGTTTTTTTGTGTTTCTTGCAGTAACGTGGACACGGAGAAGCTGTGTGGTAAGTCAGGGGATATTCCTGCTTCCCTTTCCCAKGATTTGTGTGGGCAGGATTGGGTGGCACTGACAGTCCCTGTGCCTGGATCCCAGCACAGAGCTGCTTTTCCCAAGAGAAGGGGATGGGGAAGGACTTCTAATTTCAATCCAGGTGGGACTGAATGACTCTGGAAAGGGAGGGGAGCCCTGGAGCAGGAGCAGGGGAAGCAGGGATGGAGGTGCTCAGGAGCCTGACCATGGCATTCTCTTCTGCCCCAGATTATTTCTCGGCATACCTGGGGGAATACAGGAACGTGCTCTCTGCCCTGGAAACCCTCAATGCCGCCGTGCTGACAGCCATGGACAAAACCAAGCTGGTAAGGACRGGCCCAGGGAGGGCAGCAGGGCAGGGGACGTGAAATTGGGGTCGTGATGAGCTCAGCTGCTTCCTCAGAGGGGAATTTGGGGTCAGAAGCATCAAACCCCACAAATCAAAGGGGTGACTGGAGCAGGCAGTAATGTTCAGGCTGATTGGAAGGAGGAGAAGGAGGAGATCTCTGGTTTGAGCTGGGTCTCACCACAGCATTTCTTGGGTAGGGTGTGATCCATCTCCAGTAGTTCCTCACTGCTGCAGCCACTGCAGGGTCACTCAGCCCTGCATCCTGCAGGGACCCACAGCTGGAAAGGTGAAAATGAGCAGGAAAACAGCCAGAGAGCCCGGGCAGCTCCGTGGGGGATCGCTCAGACCWTGCCAGTGAGCGACAATGAGAGGGGAATAAGGAAAGCACAGCTCGGAGGGAATGCTTGGGTTGTCTGCTTGTGCAGGCAGCGCGGCAGCCGCAAAACCTGGAGGAGGAAGAGGGTAAATCTAAAACTTTTGTGTCCTGGAGACATCGTCTCCCTCCTCGCAGGGCTCTGGCAGCGGCTGTCCCAGCAACATGATGGGAAGCACGTTGGAGATTGCTAATTAGGGCAGGCTCGGAGCCCCTGGCTGTGCGGCGCAGGGGTGTCAGGATAAAGGCAGTGCTGGAAGGGTTCTGCCCGGGGATCTGCAGCCCCTGTGCCCCTGAAGTGTGTTAAATGGTTTATCTGTGTGCTTGGGCAGGTGCTGAGCCGTGGGAAGGGCTTTCCTTTCCCCTTGGTGCAGTGGTTTGATTGGTTGGAAGGGGATGAAGGGCATCATCCGTGTGAACGTTCCTGTGACCTGATCAGACACAGAGGAAAAGGGGGACCGGTCCCACACTCATCAAAGTGCTGTTTGTGCCTCTGTAGTGTCAGTCCTTCTCTTTGGGGTTTTCCCTGGTCACAGCCAGCCTCAGCAGTGTCCCCCTGTACGCTGGGAAATTCCACGCCAGGAGAGGGAATCACTTGAAAAGGCATTTTCCCATTGGTTCAGCTGCTCACCCCCACTCAGAGTTATTAAATACAATCCAGAGGGAGAGGAGGAATTCCCTCCAGAGAGCTGTGCTTTATTTCAGCTCCTTTCTATCCTGTTTTTTTGGGTAATAACTGTGTAAAGTCATGTGTTTCTCCTGAGGACAGCACAATCGCTGTATCGGTGTGATGTATTCACTCTTTCCACAGTTTCTGTGCCACTGGTGTTCTCTGGAAAAGAGAAGCAGGTTTTTCCTGTTCAAGCAAATTTTTTTGGATTCACTTCTGCACCTGTTTGGATCTGCCCAGAGCCAGGGCAGCCCGATGTTCCCAGCCCTGGTGTCAGCCAGGAGAGCTCTGTGCTGCCCAGGGGCTCTGATCGCAGCTCGGATGTGCCCCGGTGCAGATATTGATCCTCTGGGAATGTTTTGCCTGCATCCCCTGGAGTGCTGGGATGTGGGAGAAGGCAGGAGTGGGCAGGGCTCCTGCAGAGCTGTGGGATACCTGCCACTGCTGGAGGCTGCCTGAGATGATAAATGCACCGTTCCTGCCTGCTGGGGCCTGAAGGTGTTCCCACGTTTGTATTCCCAGAGTTGGACTCAGGCTCGAGTTATTATGGGATTAGTGAACTGGATTTTAGCCAAAGCTCACACCTCTGTGAGCCAGGGGAGAAAACAGATTTCCCACATTACACCTGCCCCTCAGTTCTGGTTCCAACACCTCTCATGCCCCGTGGCTGGGRTCTGTGAGCCCCACTTTGGCACAGAGAGCACCCTCTTGGCAGAGCCGGATGAATCTTTATCCCAGGGAGCTGCTTGTGCACTGAGCAGCCTGGAGGAGCCCTGCTGAAGGATGTGCAGGCCCTGCCTGTGCTCCCCAGGCTGTATTTAYRGGGACTTTGYCTGACTCTGGAGCAGGCAGGGATGTCCAGGCTGRCTGGAAGGAGGAGAAGGAGGAGATCTCTGGYTYGAGCTGGGTCTCASMACAGCATCTCTTGCTTAGGGCATGATCCATCTCCAGTRGTTCCTCACTGCTGCAGCCACTGYAGGGTCACTCAGCCCTGCATCCTGCAGGGAMCCACAGCTGGAAAGGTGAAAATGAGCAGGAAAACAGCCAGAGAGCCYGGGCAGCTCCGTGGGGGATCGCTCASACCGTGCCAGTGAGCGACAATGAGCAGGGRAATAAGGAAAGCACAGCTTGGGGTGAATGTGCCWTGGGGGTATTTGGGAGCTGGGGTCAGCAGCAGCAAACCAAACCAGGTTTCCCATTTTTCCACCCCTYCTCACTGGGCTGGTAGGAGCATGCTAAAGAAAAGATGCCTTTTCAAGAAAAGAGTGGTTTTTCTTTAAATTCTGTCATTGCCACTTATATTTGTAAAATATGACTTGATAGCTGGGCTGTAGTGTGCTAATTACACCTTATTTGGTGGCTGAGCTTTATTTTACAACTTAATTGCATCAGGGTAGGAAGTGAGCAGTGGAAATGCCTCAGAAAACACTCAGATGTTTCTCATAGGGGGGCTGTGTGCTGAAATCTCTCCATTCTCCAGTGTGCACACACTGCAAACCCTCACATAAACACCTCTCCCAGCCAGGCAGCCTTCCTTCTCCTTGGACARGAATTCTGTGGCCATCCATTCCATTCTGTCCTGAGCTCAATTATCATCATAAGAAACGGATAAAACCCCTCAAAAGCAGAATTATAGCAGCTCTTGGCAACTTGGTGATTTTCACCTGGGTARACAGAGCTGAAATACCAGTCCAGGACCAACATTCCTTGCCTCSTGCTGGCTGAGTTATTTCCTCTGTGACTCCTGTCCATGGAGTACAAAATGCTGTGCTTGGTGAGTTTTATTGAAYCTCTGATAACAGAGGGTTTGGCMTCTGKGCAAYACCTGAGRAGAGGATTTTGGTTCTTTGCCCCARATRAGGAGTGYGAGTGGGGCYSGATTTTTGGTTCTTTCACTCCCCTGGCAGGAAWTTTTCCAGGTTTTTCCAAGCAGAAAGGTGAAGCAGCGTTTGGGGCTCTCCTGAGGGATGGYTATTTCCATCCCTGTCTCCAGCACGTTCCCCTGGGTGTGCTGTGTTTGCTGAGGCGAGAGGCAGCTGGCAGCACTGCTGTGGCCATGTGGGATCCTCAGCAGCTGAGTTCCCTCCAAGCACAGCCTGCCCGGGGTTTTGGGGTGGCAGTGGGGTTTTTGTGTATTTGGGGTATAAGGACTGCCCTGGGTGAGTTGAAGGGCTCACCTCAGGCTGGACCTGGTGTCAGTGAGAGCAGCTCTGCTCCTGCCATGAAACTCCATCTGCTGACAGAATCCAGGGAGGACGTGAGGCTCAGGAATTTCAGGGTGAAACTGAGGATGGGGAGTGCCGGSAGGCAGGGTGGGGGATTCTCCCAGAACCTGGCCCTGGGAAGGGGMGGGATGTGCCTGGGGAGAAGCATCCAACCCCCAAGAAAGGGGAAGTATCTGTGTGCCAGGGCTGTGGGAGGGGTGGGAAGGACACCTCGGGGGTGGGAGCACATTTCACTCACCCCACGGCTGCTGGGGCTGCTTGCTGGGGGAAGGGCCCTCGGTGCTGCCAGAGGGATGGCAGCGTTTGGATTTGGGGTTTRGGCGGTGAAATGGACTGTGCAGGGCTGCGTGGTGGGTGAATGATGAACCTGCTGTGCCCCACCTGCTCCAGGGGTGTCCTGGGGTGGCTCTGGTGTCTCTTGCTCCCCTCCAAGCAGGGAATGTGTGTCTGGGCTGGCAGGAGCTGGGCAGGCACAGACAGGCAGTGCTGGCAGGGGTTTCGGTGCCTGCCCCCCTGGGATGAGGAGGGGAAGGGTGGGCAGGGATCCCCAGCCCTGAGCTCTCCATTTCTGGGGCTGGGGGCAAGGAAGGCTTTGATGGAGCAGGATGGTGCTTGGCTGGAAGAGGCTGGGGGTGCAGAGCTGGAACTCAGCTTTCCATGGCATCGTGTTGTGTCGCTGCCTCCTTTTCCTGTGGCAGGAAAATGGGATTCATTTCCCAGCAGGGATGAAACCGCCTGTCCCCTGGGCCCCTGCTGCTGGTAGGGCCCCTTTACTGACTCCAGCATGAGCCCAGAGCTGCGGGGATGAGCATCCATCCTCTCCCCTTCCCCTCCCATACAGCCACATCTGGTCCTGGCTGGTGGCTCAGGGGTGCCACAGACCAACCACAAAACCATGAGGGGCTCAAGACCCTCCCACTGCCCCCTCCTTTGACACCAGCAGTGGAAGGGTTACAGCRAAACCCTTCTGTGCAGAGCTTCTGGAATTCCAGATCCTCAGTGTGCYGGAGAGAAACGCAGCAGGAATTGGAAATATTTGCCCCGAGTAATGGGGTGGCATTGTTGGACGTTATTTTGGACACGGCTCATGGAGCCCGGGGGGTGAGGAGAGCCTGGCTCCGAGCGCTGCAGCCTTGGGTCACACAGGGACACTGTGGGGAAGGCAGGGGACRCTGCTCCAGCCTGGCTCCTTGTCCTGTCAAGGACAGGGGTTGACCTCTCCTGCGGAGCAATCAGCCCTGCTTTGTCCTGTGGAGGCTCCTTCCCCAGCCTCCCGCTGCTGGTCCTGTCTGTCAGCGCTCACAGTGACATCCTGCAGTTTCTGTGTCCCCTGAGGAGCTGGCACGGGGCTGGCCATGGGGACAGGAGTGTGCTGTGACAGCTGGGCTGTGCTCCCCAGCTGCTTCCCTTCACAACCTCTGATCCTCTTCTGATCATCTGTCRAGCTGAGTCAGTTCAGCAGAGCCAGGTGAGAAAATGCCTGTTCAGGGAGCTGGAACAGCTCTCTGCAGACCAAAATTATGAGGAGTGAATGCAGTTCCCTGGTTTCCAGCTCATCCTCCCTGCCCGATGCTGACCTGCTCCAGTGCCAGGATGAGGAATCACCTGTGGTAGGGAAGTGGCTGCAGGTGCTGTGTGGACCTTCCCCKGCTCAGCTCCTTCCTSCCATGGCTGTGGCTCCCTTGGATGATCCTGCYGTGCTGGCAGCTGGACCAGCCCTCTTCCCTGCCCTGGCAGCCACAYTCCCAGATGGAAAGTGCAGCCTGGAGGGTCAGGACATTGTCCAGGACTGTGCCCAGACAGTCAGCCTGGCCTGAATCCCCAGCATGAGCCCCAGTTGTTCTCCAGCCCTATGGACACACCTTCATTGGATGGTGGACAGAAATCACCTGGAATGCCAGTGAAAAGCACTTYGTGTCTTTTGGAGCACTTTAATTGACTTTGCAGCCCTGCAGCAGYGCAGGAGCCACTCGGTCCCAGCTGCAGGGCAGTGCTTGGGAGCCACTCCTGCTGTGGAGCAACACCGTGGGACGGCCACCACCTCTCTACTGGAATTTGCTGTGCACGTAGCAGGCCCCGTGCTCCTGGTACTCGCCCTTGGTCATCCACGTGTGCTGGAAGGACGAGAGCGACGCTGCCATGGAGCCGCCTGCCCAGGCTGCCATGTCCCTGCTGGGGTTTGCCAGCACCTCGACCTGCACGCCCGTGCCTTGGGAAAGGAARTTCAGCTCCAGGCACATCCTCTCGGGGAAGCCAGTGAACATGGAGGAGCCACCCGAGAGCACAATGTTGCCCAGCACGTGCGTCCTGGTGGGCTCGGGCACCGTCTGCAGGCTCTGCCAGGCCAGCTGGGGCAGCCCGGGGCAGCTGTGCTGCAGCAGCTGCGGCTGGAAAAGTGGCTCCGGGCAGCAGAAGCGCTCCTTGCCCAGGGTTATCCAGTGCCCGTCGGGGGTCTGGAATTTGGCGTGGTGCTGGCAAGCCTTTTCCCACARGTCCCGCTCGTAGTCCAGGGAGACGTAGCAGCACTGCTCCTTGAGCTGGGTCAGTGCTGTCCCAGTCAGGGCGCGCAGTGCCGCGGGCTCGGCGGGGCCGTGCAGCAGCAGGTGCCGCAGGTGCCGGCTCAGGTGGTCCCCGGCCACCCCCAGGCAGCGGCCGCCCTTCCTCAGGGTGCGGCCCCCGCAGACGCAGGTGACGTGGGACGCCGCGGCCCCGGCCTCCACGGCCAGCCCGGTGACCCTGCCGTGGGCRCAGAGCGACAGGAAGCCGCTGTTGGCCATGTGCAGGCCGGGCACCCCGAGGCTCTCGAACAGCACCTCGGCCGCCTTCTCCCTGTGGCTGGCAGGGCAGGACGGGGGCTCGGCCAGCAGCACCGGGTGCTCCTCGGGCAGCGCTTGCAGGCAGCAGYAGAGCAGGTGGCTCCACAGGGTTTTCATGGCGTCCCAGTCCTCAACCACRCCGTGCCGGAGCAGGGAAGGCCCGGGCGCCGTGTCGGAGCTGACATTGCTCGCTGTGACACAGCAAAGCTGCCGGCTGCTCCTCGGGGTGGCCGCGGGGCTGCAGAGCTGCCCCAGCACTGTCCTGAGCACGCACTGCGGCTGCTCCTGGCCGGCAAAGCCCCCCCGGGTGAAGCGGCTGCCGCTGTCGATGACCACCGCGGGCCTCAGCATGGCTGGCGCTCAATGCCGGGCGCCGAGGAAGAGCCTGTGGGGAACGGGAGGGGTCTGGTGAGGGCAAACCTGGCTCAGGGACCTGCTGTGCAGGGGAGGAAGAGCCTGTGGGGAACGGGAGGGGTCTGGTGAGGGCAAACCCGGCTCGGGGACCTGCTGTGCAGGGGAGGGTGGCCCAGCCCTTCACACAGCCCCTACCAGGGACCCCTTTGCCGCTGGGAGGCCTGCTTTGTGCCCTCCCTGCCCAGCAGGACAGTGCCAAGCCTGTATGCTCCCACGAGAGCTTCTCTGAGGGATTTCTGAGCTGTGCTTACACTGTGGGCTGTGAAGGTGGGCCCAGAGTGGCACATGAGAAGCTGTGAGGAGAACAGAGGGGTCACCYGGCCTGGAGGGTGCCCAGAGTGTGGGTGAAGAAGCACACCATGGCACAGGAGCAGGGCTGAGAGGCACAGGGAGCTGGGGAGGTGCTTGGGCACACACAGAGGCACCCCAAACTCCTTTCCTCCTCCTTTCTTTCTCTTGTGGGAGCAGACAGGCCTGGCACTATTCTCCTGGGCAGAGAAGGCATGACGCCAGGCCCTGCCCAGGCCTGCCAGCAGTGAGGGGGTCCCTGGAAGGGCTGCCAGCACCTGGGGCCACCACAGGCTCCCAGCCTTGTCCCCAAGCCCTGGAGCGAGCAGAGCAGTGCAGGACTGGGGACACAAGGGATGCTGTGCCAGGCCTGGCGCCCTCCCTGGGCTGGGGGCTGTCCCTGACGGTGCCCTTTACCCTGTGGCTTGTGTCCATCTGCCCTCCTCCACAGCTCCGGGGCTGGCAGTGCTGGGCCAGGGCTGGCAGTGCTGGGGCTGGGGCTGTGGGCGCTGGGGCTGGGATGCCCATGGAACCGTGGCCGTGTTCCCTGCTGTGATCTCACAGGCGGTGCACCSCCAGGGTTCTGCCCTACAGCCTCACTTCTGCCCTAAAGGGTCACTCTGAGTGATAATTAAAAATCTGATTGAAACCCACCCTGTTTGGTTTAGTTCAGGGCCAGCCCCTTGCAGGTGTGGCTCTGCTGGCCCTGGGGTGTCTGACAGACCCTCTCCCTTTTCCCCCAGAGATACGAGACCTCCTCGAAGATGGAGCAGTTCCTGACGCGGTTCCTGCTGCGGGAAACCCTGCACCAGCTGCARTCGCTGCAGGCGTCCCTCGAGTGTGCCGTGGACACCGTGGAGGAGCAGGCGGGACGGGACAGGTACCGGGGTGGGGYGTGCTGCTCCCCTGTCCCCRGCCCCACTCGCTGGGAGGGACATCYAGGAGCTGGATTCACTCTTTCCAAGCCTGGAGCTGATACTTCTAGGAACGACTCCAACCCCTCCTTTTRTGTTTTTTTCTTCCAGAAAGGAGATCAAGAAATCTGAGACCTCGGTCAGCCTGAGGTCAGGGAGGCGGTGTGGGCGCAGGGGACAGAAGAACATCTGCCTGACCCCGAAAGACCCCTATTCTGGGATGCTGACAACAGGTACCTGCTGTCCCTCGGGTGGTCTGGGTCCTGCTGGAGCCTGGAGAGAGTGTGGGACCAGCACAGGATCATTCATTTTGGTAAAGATCTCCAGGATCGAGTCCAACCATCCCCCCAGCACTGCCAAGGCCACCACTGACCCGTGTCCCCAAGTGCCACATCCACAGGAGCACTGGGCAGGAAGGGCTTCTCCAGAATGGAACCTGGAGCACCTCACCCAGGTGCCAGCTGGAGCTGCTGTGGGATGCTGTATCTCTAGGGCAGTGGGAGAAGAAAAAAAAAATCAAGTTTTTTAAATTAACTTGGAGGTTTAGAAACTTTGATGGTTTTGAGGTGTTGAGCAATGACAAAACTGAGTATTTTTTGGGTGACATCTCTGTGCCCTGTGCCAYGCAGGTGTTTGTGTGGAGGACAACAGCCAGTGGAAGGCTCAGATCAGCAGGCTGCAGCAGCTCATCGAGAAGCTGGAGTGCAAGGTGTGTCCCCAAGGGGGGTGGCAGGGGCTGCCCCACACTGGGCACAGCCAGGGGCTGGTGCTGGGACACCCCCCTGCCAGCAGCCCCCCTGTTCAGCCTTGGCATTGTCACAGAGCTGCACCCACTCAGGACCCAGCCCTGCAGTGTCCCTCAGCTCTGGTGACCCCTCCTGCCTTCCCCATGGTTCTGATGGGTCAGCCAGGCCACACTGACCCCACAGATGTGCRGGGTACCTGCCCTCCCCCAGATATCACAGGGAACGTCCCTGGAGCAGTGCCCACCTGTCCCCAGGGTCACTGCCACACTCCCAGTGACACTGGTTTCCCCTGGTGTTTGACGCAGAGCCCGCGCCTGGAGCCACTGAAGGACGAAGCCATGAGCAAAGGGCCGGATGCAGTAAGTCCTTGTCCCTATTCCTGTCCCTGTCCCTATTCCTGTCCCTGTCTCTGTCCCTGTTCCTGTCCCTGTCCCGTCCCCGTCCCTGTCCCCATCCCCCTGGTTTGTGGTGACCCTGAGTGCACAGACCCCTCTGACACTCACAGCCCCGGGACTGGGGGAGCTCTGGCTGTGCCCTGCTGAGGAGCAGGGTGGGATTTAAGGCTGTGAGCTGGGTGTGGGACCATCCACGGGACAAATGCAGCTCCCTCAGGTCTCTGGAAGCCCTGGCAGTGCCACGGCCAGCCCAGAGGAAGGCAACTCTGCCTGTGAGCGCCCAAATCCCCCAGGAGAGCTCTGAGTGCCCACAGACTCCCCTGGGAGGGGTCCCCAAGCCCCCTTTTTTKGGGGGAATGACACGGGGAACCACAGCAGCCCCAAAGCAGGACCCCAGCCCTGGGGGATGGAGCATCTCCTGTCGGTGTGCTCCCTGTAAAGAACCTGCCCAGGTGGGGAGAAGCCACTTTGTGTCCCCGTTGTCCCCAGCGCGGTGGTGCCAGCCCCAGCGCGGTGCCACAGGATGGCACAGCAGGCTGGCAGCAGGGAGGGGACAGCCCCTGACACCCTGCTCGCTGTCCTTTGCCAGCACATTCTGGTGGCCAAGAGGCAGATCTCGGTGGCCACGAGCAGCATTGAGGAGTTCCGGCAGGCGTTCCGCTCCTACACCGAGGGCACGGCCGGCCACAGCAGCTGCCTGCAGTGAGTGGGGCACTTTGGGGGGCGGCTCCCCCAGAAATGGGGCTTTTCACACCCCTCGGGGCACACAGGGGGTTTTGTGCAGTGCTTTGTGTGCTGGCCAGGGCAAGGGTGKGTTCTTGCAGGGGGGGTGAGCAGTGTCCCTGCAGCATCATCCCATCTCCAGCTGCAGGAATTCCCAGTAAGGACCAGTGCCTGGCAGGGAGTGGGGAGGGTTTATGGCAGCAGGAATAGCTGTAGCCTGTTCCTGTGGGTGGATGCACGAGCACTGAGGGATTAGAAATCAATGAGAAGGTGAAGGGCAGAGCTTCTGCAGAGCTTGGATGAATGGAGAGCGTGTGGGAAGCTGCCAGGAGCACCTGGAGCTGCCCCCATGCGAGGCCAAGGCTGGCCCAGCAGCGCTGGGGACACGTCACCGTCACCGCCAGCTGAGCCCTGCGTGGCCCTGTCCTTCTCCCACGGGACACTCCAGCCCCTTTCAGCGGCAGTGTTCATGCTGTTCCCCTTCGAGTGTCACTGTGCAGCTCTTCAGCCTCAACAGCACAAATTCACGTTTTCAGTCCAAACAAAAGGAAGATGCTCGCTGTGCCACGTGCGGCACACACGGAGAACGGGAGGCTTTTTTTGGGATTGATGGGCTCTTTTGTCATCAGGGCTATTTGTGGAGACAGTGGGGTGGCTTGCACGGGCTGGCTTTCCACGTGAGAGCTGGAGCTGAGCCCGAGGAGACTCCGTGGGCCTGGTTTGCTCCAGGGAATTGCAGAGCCCCTCGTGGGGGCCTCAGAGCCGCTGGGTGACACACTGTGCTGTCCCCCGGGGCTTGGCCCCGCCAGCAGCCCTTGGCAGCAGCTGCAGCGAAGGCTCATCCTCAGCTGGAATTGCAGCCAAGCACAGCTGCTTCCCCCGGCCCTGCACCCCCAGCACTCAGCCCCTGCTGCACCCACCCTTCCAGCCTCCCACGGGCAGGAGGGCATGGGGCAGAGAGCTGTGGGTTTGTGATGTGAGCTCGGCTTCTGCACTCGTGCCTCAGTTTCCCTCCGTGTGCAGGGTGACAGGTGACACACAGCTACCCCAAAGGACTGACAGGATGAGCCCTGTCACTGCTGGGGGTGTGTAAGAAATAACAAAACACAGAACGTGCTGGCTCCTGGCCAGCAGCAAAGACCAGAGGAAGAGCTGTAAAGCTCCTCTGTCACCTGGCCACAGCAGGATTTGGGTTTGGGGTTCCCCGGAGCTGGTCACAAACTGTGAATGCATCCAAACTGTGCTTTGGAAGCCTCATGGTGAGGCTGATGTGCAGGGTGGTGTCCCTCAGCCCAGGCTGCTGGGGTACACGTGGCCATGCAGTGCCAGCACCGTGCCAGGGTCGTGCCAGCCTGCCCAGGGTCACTCTGTCCCCACAGCGTCTCTGCCTGCAAGCTGACGGACGAGGCCTGCTTCATCCTCTACGAGTTCTGGCAGGACGTGACCTCGTGGAGAAGGTGGGACAGGGCCCATGGGTGGGGCTGGGTGCTGGGGGGCTCAGACAGGGTGCCCACTGCTCACCCTCCTTGCCCAGCCTGTCCCTGCCCTGCTCTGTGTGCCCTGGGGCTCACATGGGGTGAACACCCCGATAAATATTTTGGGGAGCAGGGRGTGGTGCTGGGGATACAGAAGCTGCTCTGTCCCCATGGGTGGCAGGGGGTCCCAGCCCCACATCCCCCTGACCCTGCCCCCTGTTTTACAGCCAYTTGCAGTCCAGCTGCAGCAAGACTTTCCAGCAGTCCATCCTCAGCTTGCTGGAGTCCCCGGAGCTGCTGACCACCATGCTCTTCCCAGGTGAGGGGGCCCTGAGTCCTGCTCCAGGTGTGCTCCAGGGCAGGAGCAGGGCAGGAGCAGGGCAGGGGCAGGCACGTGGCTCATTCCAGAGCAGAAGAATGGTTTAGGGTGACCTAAATGAGGTTTTACAAGCCAGAGTGAGACCTGTTCCCATTAGGTTTGGCTGTGTAAGCTGGGGTCTGTCCCCTGCCCAAGGGTGCTCTCCAGTGGGGACAGCCAGGCAGCAGGGACACTGTCGGGGGAGCAGACCAGCTGAGTCCTGTCCCAAACACACCTGGTGCTCCATTGTGTTTGTCACCTGAGCCCCGAACTTGCTCTGCTGCTCCCGGAGCAGTGCCAGGGCTGTGTCCAGGGTTACAGCCCAGCGCTGGGCAGGGGAGGGGCCAGCACAGGGAATGTGCACAATCCCGTGGGACCCACAGAAATGGGACCCGATGTGGGGGACTGGGAACCAAATTAAGCCCCGGTTTGCTTTGAGGGGTCACTTTGAGGTCTGGTGTAAAACAATGAGTCCATAAAACATGGATTTATTTGGACTGACCCTGTGCTGTCCCTGCTGCTCCCCACTCCCCAGTCCCACTGACCACATTCCCTGAGCTGTCCTGTAGAAGCTGCCACAGCTCCAGGGGGATCACCCCTCTCCGGGCCATGCCACAGCCACGCTCCCTGCCCGGCTGGGGGTGGGTGCTTTAGAGCCAGAGACCTGAAGGGTCAGCTCCCCATCTCTGCCACCCCAAATCCCCAATCCCAGTTTAACTTTTGTCTCCCTGACCCGTTTCCCTCTCTCCCCAGCTTCCTGGTGGATCATGAAYAACAACTGACCCGGGGCAGCTGCCTCCAGGACACCATCAGCATGCGGGAGGAGGTGGAGACTTTGGCACAGCCATCACCTTCGTCACCTCCCTGTCCCTCCTTCCCTCCTGTGGCCAGCGGGGGCTGCCTGCCCTCGGCTCTGCTAGTGTTTTGCTCCTTTGCTCTTTTCCTSTTAATTTATTTCTTTATCCTGCTCCTAAGACAGTGTCTGAGCTGCCTGGGGGTGCTGTGTTTGGGGGTGGCACTGGTCTGATGCTGCATCCTGGCAGCTTCAGCCCCCTTTGCACTCCAGCTCCTCTTCCTCCTGGCCCCGAGGCTCCACAGGGTACTGGGATGGGCAGGGGAACACGGCTCTGGCCAGCTGTGACATCCTGCCCAGGGAGCCAGGTGGCCTCAGATGGATTGGGAAATGTTTTATAGGGAAAAAAAACATATTTCATTAAGCATTTCTGGCAAGGTGTTACCTGCTCATGCCCTGCCAYGCTGGCAGCATGTTCCAGGGCTTTGGGACTGGCTTTGTGCCCCCGCAGCTGTCCCCWTGGCTGTGCCTGTCCCCAGCACATCCCCTTCCCAGGGGAGGCCAGCCCAGTCCCCAGCACAGCCCAGGAAAGGCCAGTGTAGCTCCAAGCTCTGTTTTTATTCAGCTCCATAAATCAGTGTTKGCACGGGGCAGTGCTGCCAGAGGCTGGAGCTGAGTTACTGGGGAGGGGTCTGGGGTGGGGGCACTCAGTGAGGGGGGAGGGCTGGAGCAGATCCCACCTGCTCCAGGGCTTTTCCTGGCATTTCCCTGSTGGTGCTGCAGCAGCAGCTCCTCTGTGAAGCCATGGAAAATGCACTGCCCCAACCAGGGTGGAGGGATTGGGAGTGGGCAGGAGGGACAGCCGGGACCCTCCTGGCATGGAAACGTCCTCCTTGTGCCCCTGCCTGTCCCCAGCACCAGTGTGGGTCACCTGCAGCCCCAATCCTTGCTCACCTRCGACCTGCTGCCACCCCACAACCTCTTTTTCCACTCGCTGTGGGTGCTGCTCCACCAGAAACATTAATTAAGAGTGTTTCTCCCCTGATTCTTGGATGCAGTCAGTAAAATCTGGGGCTGAAGGGTGCAGCTCCATCCTGGGGACACCTCGTGCATGATGTGCTGGGCAGGTCTGACACAGTGTCACCCCTGAGCCCATGGGGTGACAATACCGGGGATTTGTTGGGTTTTAGGGAACTTGTTTTGCTCCAGCAGCAGCTCCCTGGGTTTGGGAGGTTTGTTGGGTTTTAGGGTGCTTGTTTTGCTCCAGCAGCAGCTCCCTGGGTTTGGGAGGTTTGTTGGATTTTAGGGTGCTTGTTTTGTTCCAGCAGCAGCTCCCTGGGTTTGGGGTGCTGGGGGGTAATAAATACCCCTCGTGGGAATGAGGATCTGTCCCTTCCACCCTATTCTTTAYCTGCTCATCAATCCCTGCTGCTTTCCCTGGTCACAGCCCCGATTTGCTGTGATCATGGGGCAGCAGGAACAGCTCCAGCCCTGTCCAGGGGCAGCTGCTGGGCCCAGGGCCACATTCTTGCCCCTGGGAGATGCACCCAAGGGATCCAGGGATGTGCTGGAGCCACAGCAGGGCTTTGGGCCATCACTAAGGGACAGRGCACAGCCAGGGTGGGCTACAGAGGGGCACCCAGGGCAGCCACAAAGAGCTGAAACAGGCACTGGGTTGGGATTCCTGAGCTGCCTCCCCAGCCCCATCTGGGGCTTGCCTCTACATTTTGGGTTTCTTCACCACTGGATTAATGTCTGCAGCAGCCTGGAGACCAAAACCCTGGGATTAAGGCAAACTGTGTGAGGGGGATCCCTGGGGGGCACAGTGGCAGCCAGCTGTGACAGCACATGGGGCTGCACTGGCAGCCAGCTGTGACCACCCTGCAGGCTGCTCTGTGCTCACATAAAAAAAAATAACATCTAAAAAAAGCTCAGAAAACAACACATTGAACTATAAACTCAAAGAAATCCAACATCACTGAGGATGGGGTTGAACTCCAGCTCTGCCTGCACTTTGCTCACAGTCTCACCACCATAAGGAAGAGTTTTTATCCCTAAAAGTTCCCTGGCCAAGGCCACGGTGTGGCAGCGTTCCCTAAAAACCCCAAGAGCTGCCWGAGCACTGCTGGAAACCTCTGCCCCTCCCCAGAGAGATAAAGGATGAATATAGTCTTTTTATTGACTACTTTTGAGTAGAACAAACTAAATACATCTGTAACAGTTTGGGTTCCTTTATACAGGACATTAAATAAGTTATGCACAAGAATGAAGTAACAAATTTCTATTACAGAATTAAATGTTTAAAAAAAAAATAGAAACCTCAACCCAATGTCTTCCCACGCCCCAAGTTCACATTTATCATTCCATGTTTAAAAACAAAGAAACAAAAAAAAAAAAAGAAGCAATCATTCTAATCATGACTGTTAGTATTTCATTCATTTACATGGGGTTAATTTTAATACACGGCCATCAACGTCGCATGAGAATTATGGAAGACAATCTATTTACAAGCAATTCCTTCCAGCCCTGCCCTGCTCCCCCTTCCCAGGCACCTTGGCACTGCCACCRCTGACCACAGCAYGGGGCTGGGGCTGCAGGRRGRRGGG